GTGACACATCACAGCACAACTAATGGACCTTAATGTTCTGCCACAGTTACAGCCCTGTCACTATGTGCACTGTAATGTGGGGTTGTAATGATTGGGTTAACCAGTAGATCCCTACTAAAATGTATAATGTGAGTGGGCCAGACGCCAGGGTACTAGGGTACTAGGGTACAGAGTGGGTATGTGTAGAAATGAGTAGGGGGGACCAATAAAACCAGTTCTAACGTACTAATGATGTAACAGAGCAAATGAGATGTTTGTAGGTTAGATACTGGATAGTTTAGTAGTCCCATGTATTGAATACAGTACTATGTAGTTCAGTGAGATCAGTAGCCTTGTGAGCCTGGGACAAGAATGTGGTGCTGGGGACAACAAGGTAATGTTTATCATTACCTTATTTGGGCATCACGTGTTATGTAATAGCCCGGTTCATAAAACAAAAATATTATCCAATAATTACGGCGATAGGCTTATCTGTTGTTCCTTAGGCCAAATAACTACCAAAAAAATTTTGAAGCTTCAACTCCAACCGGAAACACCCCCACATGCCACGCCCATTTTTTTCATCAATTTTTAACAGGTAAAAATCTTCATATCATCAATTTAGGCATGAAGGAGTGCTTTTAGTGCTCCAACAGTTTGGGGTCTAATAGTAATGGTAGAAAAAGGTTAACTTTAGTCAAAGTCTCAAGTCTCCACGGCGCTTGGTTTAGGCGCACCAGATCTCGCGTCTCCGCCTCCGCTGCGTGATTGGTGGCGCCAGAACTAAAGGTCGTAGAGACATGAGACTTCAACTAAAGTTAACGTGTTCCTACCATTTATATTAGAGTAGCACAGATTCAGAGCTCTAAACACATTCCTTCATCCTTAAAACGACAATCATATGAATTTTGCCTGTAAAAGTTGATATCTTGATGTCAATTAACATCGTAAGCTTTTAAAACTAAAATTAATTAAATGAGTCATAATACTTCACACAATATTTACACACAATATGAAAATATAAATACAGGAAGTCTCTTGGATTCGACATTGAACTTTTCTCGGTCCCTGCACTGGAAAGTGGAACTGATCCTTTAAAGAAGTCAGCAGGTTCTGATTTAGGTACCCTGGTTTTCGGATCGCCAAGTCTTCACAAGCAAGCTGTCTAATCTTCGTTGCCAAAAGGAATTTTGTTGCCAGAGGAATATTTTCGTCAAACTAGGATTTAAATGAGGTCTTTATTTCTTTATAACTCGTCACCGATAGGATCAGCATTGATAAGGTCCAATAATTCCTTCATAGCTCGTCACTGACAGGATCATTATCAATGAGATCCAATGATTCGTTCATAGCTCGTCAGTCGTCACTGACAGGGTCACCGATCACTATTAATAAGGTCTGATGATTTCTTCGTAAATAACGAGGTACAGTAATCTCTTACTGATACGTCAAGACAAAGTTAAGTAAATAACTATAAATATCCAAGCATTAGCTAACAAAGTAGCATCTGGTTCTAATTCCTTTACCAAGTTATCAGTAATGGATCTAACATCTAAATGAATCTCTTCTGTAAACTGAATTTCTTGAAGCTGAAGGACTGATTCCCTCTCCAAGATGGGGGAATACTTGTTAAATTCTTGTAGGATTCATGAAGAGGGGAAATTCTCCACGGTATAGAGGGGAAATTCTCCACGCCATAGATGGCATATTCCCAATACTCGACCAGCTCGTTCTCGACAGTGACTGCTCATTCATAAACATTAGTGTGGAGACGTGGAATCCAAAAGACTTCCTGTATTTATATTTTCATATTGTGTGTAAATATTGTGTGAAGTATTATGACTCATTTAATTAATTTTAGTTTTAAAAGCTTACGATGTTAATTGACATCAAGATATCAACTTTTACAGGCAAAATTCATATCATTGTCGTTTTAAGGATGAAGGAATGTGTTTAGAGCTCTGAATCTGTGCTACTCTAATATAAATGGTAGGAAAAGGTTAACTTTAGTTGAAGTCTCATGTCTCTACGATCTTTAGTTCTGGCGCCACCAATCACGCAGCGGAGGCGGAGACGCGAGATCTGGTGCGCCTAAACCAAGCGCCGTGGAGACTTGAGACTTTGACTAAAGTTAACCTTTTTCTACCATTACTATTAGACCCCAAACTGTTGGAGCACTAAAAGCACTCCTTCATGCCTAAATTGATGATATGAAGATTTTTACCTGTTAAAAATTGATGAAAAAAATGGGCGTGGCATGTGGGGGTGTTTCCGGTTGGAGTTGAAGCTTCAAAATTTTTTTGGTAGTTATTTGGCCTAAGGAACAACAGATAAGCCTATCGCCGTAATTATTGGATAATATTTTTGTTTTATGAACCGGGCTATTATGTAATGTTGGCAGTCGTATCAGCTGCTCTCTACTCACACTCTTCTACACTGTGATTATAACATTAGTGTAATTAGTGTAATTAGTGTAATTAGTCACGTGATAACACCAGAGTGGTTGTTATTAACTATACAATAGTTATTATAAAGGAGCAATATACAATAGTTCAGTAGTCCCCTCCACATTAAAACAATGACGAAGTGGGCCCGGTGTGTAAGCGAGTGGTTCATAAGTGATGTACACAATGACCTCTTGATGGTAAATGTACTGGGACGGTTAGTTCTAACTCCTTGCTGACCAAGTGCAGGAGCAAGGGACGAGGGGTGACTCTTATTAACTCCTTGCTGACCAAGTGCAGGAGTAAGGGACGAGGGGTGACTCTTACTAACTCCTTGCTGACCAAGTGCAGGAGCAAGGGACGAGGGGTGACTCTTACTAACTCCTTGCTGACCAAGTGCAGGAGCAAGGGACGAGGGATGACTCTTACTTACTCCTTGCTGACCAAGTGCAGGAGCAAGGGACGAGGGGTGACTCTTACTTACTCCTTGCTGACCAAGTGCAGGAGCAAGGGACGAGGGGTGACTCTTACTTACTCCTTGCTGACCAAGTGCAGGCGCAAGGGACTAAGGGATGGCTCTTCATTCGTTACTATGTATTATGTACTACAATCAGGGGAATTTTAGTGCAAAGAGAAAAATGTTGGTCTATAAAACATACATTACCTTGAGTCACTGATATTTCCCTCAAGAACCGGTTTTATGTATAAAATAATGTGAATCCTACTATTTATTATATAGTATTGTTATAATATTTATCATGCACCTCTATTTACCGGACAGTTTACCTGGAGAATTGCCAACTTTTACTGCTATTAAACCCTAACACCTGTTACTTAAGTGATCATAATATTACCTCATCACATCCTTTATATTAGCTGTCTTTCTCTAGGATAGTCTACTCCAACACTATTAGATCACTGTTATATCTAACCGGAACTAGTTTACTCGGTCCGTTAAACCTAATCCCCGATTTAACAATGAATATTACAATGAATATTACCAGTAATCGTTAGTGGTGAATATTAAATTTACCTTTAATTAGATTCGTCCCCTTGTAATAAATATGATATTTAAGTTAGCCACTTTAGGAATGAATATTATGGGATTTACCTTCGTCCCCTAGTTGTGATTAGGATGTTTAACTTAGCCGTGAATATGGTATTCAATATTTACGTTAGTCCCTTGCTCCTTTATAATACGATAAAGTTCGCCCTGTGTTTTTTCCTGTAACTTGACTCGAATCACTTATTACATCACCATTATTATTATTCGGTGTGTTTACTGCATTTAATATGAACGTAATTTATATGATAATTCCTTATCTGTAGTTGTGGTTCCTACCATGGGGTTTTGTTACAGTTGTGACATTTCCTGATAATGAATTATGCAATATGCAGCATGAAATATTGTTATAAAATATAAAGAAGTTGAACTTTATTGTATATTATATGATACAAGGAATATAGTCCGAGGAAACGTTTTCGTTACATTATTTTATTACATTATTGAGTAATCCAGCAACTTTATTAGTGTAATACTATAGGCAGGTGCAGTCAGATTATTTTCAGAGCAGCATTAACAGTTGGCGACCACAAAGCCAGCACTTGATAAGAATGCAAAGCGCGACCTGTGCAACAGTACCAAATTGTGTATTTTGGTGTAAATTTGATTTACAGACAGCGATGTGATAATTTCTACTGCTGGTCCAGCTTTCCGAGATAATTGGATTATCTTCTGTACGTAGTGAGAAAAAAACAGCTTCAAGTCGAGTAATTTTGCTCGGTTTTCCAATAAGGGCTAGAAATAATTTGCATCAGATTAAACCTCATGAAAAATAAAAAAGTGAGCCATTATTATTATATTATGTCATTTTGATGGCGTTCAAGTTAATACGTGTGGAAGAGTGAGCAAGGTGAAAATTGGCTCCACAGATAATGTGTGTATTAATTCATATACTTATCATGGACTCGAGAACATTGCATGTTAAAATAAACATCAATATGCTAGGCAGTCAATATCAAGCTCGCGCTCCTTTTCGCCATCGTGGGAAAAAATACATGAAAGCACAGAAAATTAGTTTGTTACCTAATGTAACGCGCGTTCCACTTTTTATCGACTAGCTGAGCTAACAAAATGCGCGCGTCTGTAGTGCGCGCACCATTGCACGCGGTTTTATAACTGCGTGGGCGACACTGGCAATGATTCAATTCATGACTTTACTTAAACTGATACAGCTGGCCTGTGGACTGCAGCTGTGAATACAAAATTTGACCATCATCAACGGAAATAAACAGTTGTATGAGAGGAACCCACAAAAATTGAATCCATCCACTATGACCTGTGTTAAAAATGGTATTTTGGTGGATCACCTTATATGGTACCATTATCCACTACGTAGAAAATAAGATTTAATCGACAACCACCTATAAAAGTCAGATCCCACTGTACCAGTGAAATTATAGTTGCTTGACTTCGGTTTTGTCGACATTAGTAGGTACGATAGAGCAGACTGCAAGGGGAGGTCCGATCTTACATACTGTTTAGTTCTTATATTTCTAACCTCAGCCTTATTTCAGGTGGTGCTAAAGATCTTGCCCCTACACTCACAAAGATGTATGTGAAGCAGCGCAATATGGAGACAAAGATACAAAACCTCTGCAAGTAAGTTTTACGTCATTGGTTATTCTGCCTCAGTAAATCGCAACATTTTTAGAAATAAATAGTATATTTTTATGATTAATGAGGTTGTCAAAGTTGAGATCATCATTGTTTTGTTCTAACGAGTGATACTCAGTTCAAAGAATCTTTCATTTTGTGATGATGATCTCAACCGTTATACCCCCTAGTCCTTTCAATATTAAAATATCTAAGAAAACCATTAGTACAGCACCATGACCCATCATATAAATAGTTTCGGGCACTATTTACTGCTTGCCACTATTTCCACTGTAATTTATTATTCGTTGATATTCGTAAAACGTGCTAAGCACATACCAACTTGCTGTAAATGTTAGCACTGCACGTAAGCTTAACATGCAAACCAACAGGCTATTCAATGACGGGTATAACATGCCGATGAAAGACAAGCTGAAAGAGTGGAAGGAGACGCTAGACTATCTGGACTCTAAACATTACAAGGAGTCCAAACGTAGAGTGGAGGAAGTTAAAAAGTCAGTTTCCGAGACGGAGAGGCTGAAAAAGAAGGTCGTCAAGAAAGGTTTGTTAAACCTGTGTTCAGTTGATCGTAACGTCTTGTCTAAACACATCAATCAACCCTGCATTTTGGGGACGGATAGTTGGGAAAGATCGTTTAAAAGTAAGTTCAATATTTGGTCCATTCTTATCTCCAACTTCCCTGTTACCTAAGCCCACTATGTCTTAAACCCCAAAATCTACAGAACCATTATTAAGAGCCGTATTGACCTCGCATCTAAAGAAAAGTTCAGCTTTCTTCTCAGGCAAGACGAAGAAGCAGGGTCAGTTATGTGACGCAGAGCGTAGTAAGGAGACACTCCTCTATTCGCTACAACAGTTCGAGCAACATGCACTGCGCGGCGCACTTATCCAAGAGCGCTCTCATTTCTGCAATTTTGTAAACATGATGAGTCTAGCATGGGTAAGTGTTTTATCACGTGATGCCCATATAAGGAGTCCTTTATCTGTTTGTTTCAAGCATGGTTTTCCGGGTCGCCTGTAACTTGACAAAAGCACAGCTGTCACGTAAAAAACACAACGTCGCATGAAATCATGCTTATTTGTTTTAGGTGTGACGTATTGTGATGCTCAAGTTTGCTTTTGTTTTAATTTCACTTCTCCTAGGAGACGGAGTGTGAGCTCATGGATGAAGGGACACATTTACGGGACGTGCTCTCACTAGCAATACAAAGTGCATCACTTCCAACCCAACTACCGGCTGATGCAGAAAGTTCAATTCATAAGATCAGACTTATCAGTGCTGACACAGCTTTCGAGGTACGGACACGTTCCATCATATTCTGCATCGTGTTTAGGAAAGAACCGGGCCATCATAAATTCAATAAATAGTAAATACTCTTCAGTAATGAACATTCTTTCCTTGCGATATACAATTTATCACTATTATCAGGGCCAAGATACGCAAGGAGTACAGATAAACGGAGTGGTGTCCCCTAGAAGTAGCTTTATCTCAACCAACAGCAGCTCCACTAGCGGTGTCAGCTCTGGCGGCAGCTTTGGAACTCTTCCCAGTAAGTTTTACTTGTCGTGTGTTTGGTTTGCAAAGGTTTGCAACGAGATGTGAATAAATATTTTATCATTTTCAACTAGAAATATTGTTTAAATTAGTATTTATGACATTAGGCACTGATAGGTTTATCAATTATTAATATGTATACAAGTTAATGTTTTGCCTACAGAAAGAGTAACGTTGGACAATCTTTCAGATACCCCAAAAGAGACTGAATCCAGCAAGTACAACAACAACAACAAGTTTAGTAGTTTTGACAACTTAGCCCGGAGTTACCCCGGCTCCGACCAAATAAGCTCTGGGTACGGCAGCAGCCCGAGTGTGGTGTGCCCCAGGGCGGAGAGTGTGGTGAGTCCTGGTACGCGGGGTGTGGTGGCTGATATAACTAGATTCGTGGAGCAGAGTCAAGCTGCTGATAGTGCTCCCAGACTTAATGGAGGTGAGTTATCTCCGTCAGTTTACGGTAACCATGGTAACAACTAACATGTCAGTTTATAGCTGGTCTGTGGGATTTTCTTCACACTTAAGGCCAGAGGGGGGGGGGGGGGGGGGTAAAAGTCGATTTTCCCGTTTTTACATATTTGATCAGAGCTGCTGGAGACGAACAAGAAGAAAAAACCGGACCGAAATCTGACCTTGCATTTTTAAGATATCGCGCGCCAAATATTGAGGTTTACATGTAATTACATGTAAAACTTTAACTTAAACTGTAAAAAGTTAAAACGTCCTAAGTTGAAAAGACTGGCCACACCCAGAAGCTGACACTTGGCACAGGTGTTCTTTGGGTCGTTTTCTTTGGGTTGTTGCGCAAAAAACTTATGTTTTAGAATTTTGATTTTTGTCTTTGTTCTTGAAATATGAGGTTAACAAATTGAAAAAATCTCAAAAATCACATTTTGCCATTTTGTTAACCTCATATTTCAATCAAAATTCTAAAACATAAGTTTTTTGCGCAACAACCCAAGGAACACATGTGCCAAGTTTCAGCTTCTGGGTGTGGCCAGTCTTCTCAACTTAGGACGTTTTAACTTTTTACAGTTTAAGTTAAAGTTTTACATGTAATTACATATAACCTCAATATTTGGCGCACGATAACTTAAAAACGCAAGGTCAGATTTCAAATTAGACAGAAACTCGGTTTTAACAAAACACTAAATATCGTCAATTGTCAAACTGAATGACAATTTTTAAAAGCACTACCAGTATTTTACTATCAGTCTCAAAGTTACTAAATACTAATAAATCTCATTTTCCAGATTTAGGTCACAGAAAGAGAGGTAGTGGAGAATACTCCTCCCTCTCCCCCGTCCCTACTCCTCGACACAACTCCGTCCACACAATCCCCTCACAGCACTTACCCTCTACACAACACGTGGTACAATACGGAGCCTCCTCCCTTCCTGTGACGTCATCACAGTATCTGACGTCATCAGATGTTTCGGTAGCTGACTCCATGGAGACTTATGAGAATTTAGGGGAGATGATTGAGCAGGATAAGGGTCCAGCTGAGCCCATGAAAAAGCCTAATCCTTACTTCGGTAACTTGTTAACCAGATACATTTCCTATATTTTATTTACCATTCCTCTTGTTCGGCTACCAATTGTTAAAGGCCGTCTACTTTCAAACAAGTTTTCTAACATCTCATCTTTGTTGGCCAAATTTAAGTAATTCCGTCCGTTAAACTGAAGATTACCAGCATTCCTATCAGGTATTCCAGCACCTCCTCCCCCGGATCCGGAGGAGGATCCCTCACACGAGCCGCTCTACGAGAATATCCACGAGCAGGAGAGTTTGTACGATGTGCCTCCACCACCTGTGCGCGCCACTCCCACCCCTCCTACCCCACGTGCAGGTCCTACTACTCCTACTCCTCCCGAGCACCCTTCACTTCCTCCTACCAGATCGAGCAGTCTTAGTTGTAGACGTGGCAGTGTACGTTTGGTTTTCAAACCCAAGGATATATTTTGTTTTTTTGTCATCTAGGTTAGGACCTCGTGAACGGTATTGATATAATATATTAAGCTCTACTTATGCTGTACATTTTCTCTTTTACTCACCTCTATATTCTACACACACAGGATTTGAAAGGTAACACGGTGACAGCGTATCTGGAGAGAAGACGCAGTGTAATGTCCCAGAACCGGGGTTCCACAACAGATCTGAGAGGAAGCCAGGAAATACACTCTTCTCGTCACAGCAGGTAAATACATACTCTCCAGATCACTTTCACTTAGGGTAAAGCACATAATTTTGTCATTTTTTGGCAATTTTCCGACTGCCTGATATAAACCATGGGTTTTAACCTCGTCTGAAATTCCGATTTAGATGAAACCTCCACCATGTTATAGTAGACAGTCTAGGCAAGTTCTAACACAAAAATGATCGAAATTGCTGGGGTTGAAGATGTTAAAAAAAATTATTTTGAAAAAATGACAAAATTAGGTGACTTTACTTAATTTTGTCACCCCGAACCTAATTTTGTCACTTGAAGATTGTGCAAAAAGTAACCGTTTCTCGGTATTTTAGACTACCTGGATGCATCATTCGAGCGCTTTTTTACCAACATTGACCTCAAAAATCCCAAAGATATGATGTTTTCATAGTTTTGTAGCTTGATGAAAAGATGACACTTTTTGGGTATCTAATCTTAGAAAATAGCCCCAAATGCCCCTGAAACCACTGGCATCTTGAAAAACGATTGGTTCTAGGCCTATGTTGAAATTTTCATGTCTGTAGATAGATCACTTGCTTAGTAATTTCATCAAATATTTTTTTAGTCATTTTAGATTGAAAAAATCAGATTATCCACCTAATATTTCTCGGCGAAAATATGCTATTATAAGTGTTATGCTATTATTTAAGTGCCTTATACATATCCTATGGGCAAAAAAACTTCAGAATAGTTGTATAAGGCCATTTTCAACACAATCTGTGATTTACAAGAAATTTGAGAAAGGTCGATTTTTTTGACAAAATTAGGTACTTCTGGCAAAATCGAACCTAATTTTGTCACCCTCTGTAACTTGAACAATAATTGCGCTAGAGACTTGAAAATTTGTACGTATACTTCTGATGTAGAAGATATTTGAAATATGCAATGGCATGAAGCTAGCTCAATTACTTTTGAAATAGCAATTAATCAAAATTTTGAAAATTCCTTAAGAAAACCTTAAGGATCTTATTTATTTTTCGGGTTAACAGTTTCGCCTTCATTTTTGACACAGATGCAAAAGAGCTAGAAACTTAAACTTTGTACGAGCAGTTTCAGCAAAGTCTAAGCTTTCTTTTTATACACAATCCTTTTCTTTCAAGCTGAAATTCCGAGCCGAGGCAGTTTTTCAGAGCAAAATGACAAAATTAGGTACCCTGACAAAATTATGTGCCTTACCCTATTAACTTTCTTTTTCACTTAACCGAATTTACTCAGTTTAAAAATGTCTGACATGTAAAACTTACCTCTCTTACCTCAGTATGTCTAACGGATCCCACTACGGTACGCCTCGTCCGACCAGCGTGTGCAGTAACCATAGCAACACTGATAACAACTATAACGGGAATTATCACAATAGTAATGGAGCTGTCAATTACCCTGCCCAACAGTTCGCACAGCCTAAATCTAACGGATATGGTGAGTTTTTGATCTGTATATTATTGACCTAACCATGGGTATTCGCGTACTACGTGACGGCGGGCGCGCGCTACTGCAAGCGCAAGGGCTCTGTTATGTAGTCTATGTAATAAGCGCCATGAGTTGGCGCAGAATATTTGTCTCTGATTTTGATAAATTTGGTACCAAAAGTTGCCTGTAAGTGTGAATAATGCAAATTCACCGTGTAGCACGATAACGTCGAGCTGTATGTGGGCCTCCTGGCTCCTGTGCATTGAAAGAGTGTAAAAAGTACGAAAAATAGGTAATTGCTTGCTTAAAATGCCTACAACTCCTAGAATATCGAATATTTTGAAACAATTTTTACAGGATCGTAATAAGCTTAGTCAGACGCAACTTTTGGTAAGAAAATTATAATATTTGAAGGACCAAATTTTTCAAAAAAAAGGGCTTTGTGATCAGGTTTTTTAAATTTGAAAATAATGTTCCTTTAAATCTTTTGATATTAGTACTAAAAGTTTCGTGTCGATAAGCTGATTACATAACAATTATTTCATATTAACTGAAACGGTGAAAGTTATAGGCCAAAAACTAAAAATTTGCGCAAAAAAAGCATGTGCGGCAAACTAAACAAGCGCCGTGCAGCATTTTTAGCGAAAATTGCTACACGGTGGAATTATTTTATTCGCATTTTTAGACATCTTTTGGTACCAAATTTATCGAACTTTTCTAGTTGAGACTTTTCTAATTTGTATTGCCGATTGCATTTGTTTTAAAAGAATAATATCTTTGCTCATCTGACTACCTTGGCAGCGTCAAGATCCGATATCCAAGGCACGAATGGGACACAGCGTATCCATGGCTACGCGGTACAAGACAATCGCATCGCGGCAGACCCTAATGCACCGCACTATGCGGTTCAGCAACATCGATCAAGTAGTCGACTGTCTCTGAAATCTCAACCCCCGCACTACGCTACAATGACAGGTATTTTACATTAGCAGTGTAACTGATTAGCAGTGTAACTGATTAGCAGTATAACTGATTTCCTTAAATGGGACAAATTTTGTGATAACGTGATCTAGAGATTACACTGATAAATTGTGATCCTCTTGACTACCTGGCTTCCACTAAACGAGCAAGGGAGACTTAACTAACATTTCTATTTCAGCTCGTCCGAACAAAAGGACATATTCCCTAACATCGCTCAACTACGGCAGCTCCAACTCTTTACATCGCAGGTTTACTTTCAGTTTTACTTAGCTCCAACTTTCACATTCCCAAATTTATTTGCGATTTAACTGAATTGTGGGCTCCTTGTTCCTTCTACTTTGTAACACGTGCACATTTCTCAGCAACACCTCGCTGGAACGTAACGCCGCCCCACCACAATCTCTATCCGCCGTTGATCCCACTATGCCTCCTCCTCCGCCTCCTCCGCCAAAAGTCGGACAAGGTACACATTTTTTTCCTCTGTAATCTAGGTACAACGCGGATCAACAATTCTTAACTAGTAGTATCCTGCAAATTTGTTCAACTGTTGCAACGATAATCCTAAATTCGACTCTTATCCTGACTAGTGACTGATTATCCTAATATTCATTACACCCGTGTTATACTAATGATAAAACCTTACCAGAGATCTCCAACCTGTGTAACCAGATAACAAGAGGTGGTACTTTGAGACCCAGTCAGTTGAGAGTGGGTGGCATGAAACCAGGCGATACCAGGTACTTGTCAATACTCTCACTCCTGTTAAAAGTTCATTTTTCAATAAACACCATGAGATTGAGCTCCACTAGGCCTAGGGTTCTAGAGTTAGACGACTTGAGCCAATTGAATCTACACGATTCAAACCATGTAAAAGACTAAATTTAGAGTAAATAATACTTTTCTTGTGAACTTTAAACCGGCCCTTTCAGCACGATAAAACGAAAAGATGTGAAGAAGGGGGAAATTATGTCGTACAGCAACGAGATGCAGCATCTAAACCTCAATAAGTAGCCTCGCAGTATGCAGATACTTCTAGAATCTTCTCAACACACAGTCCTGATCTCTTCTCTTGAAATGTGGCTGTTATTATTTTATAATACTCTGACGAGGGTAAATAGAATCGTAGTTATGCAGGAGGGACTCCGCGTCCCCCTCCACCTCCACCGAACTAATTCCAGATAATGGTGATATTGATACCGGAGGTGAAGCGAAATATATTTCATAAGACAATTCGGTTGATAATTTTGTTTATAATTGACGTTGGACTGGACATAAATATTTTACGTTTTTTAAGTTGTATTGAAAACTGGACTTATTGTTTTGTATTAGATGAATGTACTGTTAGTGCAGAAGTTCATTGTTCGCCCGTTACTGATCAGGAAAATAATATCAGCTATACTTGTTTATAATAATGTTCATCTATATTTATTTCTCAAACAGGTTATTTTACAGTTAAGTTTTTGTTACCTCGGACCTCATAAAAGCCTGAGACCAGTTAAATGTATTTTGTTGATTTGTTTTGGGATTTCAAGTATTTAAATGCCGTTAGCCCTGTTCAGAAAACACAGTACGGCTATAGTTTTGTCAGAAGAAGGCCCCTGACTTGCCCTTGAGTTTTTAAAGTTGTGCCACTTTTTTGTTGTTTTGACACGTCAGGCGTCAGCTTCCCACGCATTTGATTGGTTAATCTCTGTCACGTGTCAAAACAGCAAACAGAGTAGCTCAGCTTCCAAAAAGCACTGGCAAATCAATGGCCAGCTTCAACTGATGCCATAAATTACAACATTTTATGTGAATTGAGTTCTTCATACGCCGTGCAAGAAAACTTTAAATTCAATTTGACGCGCGTAAAATCGCAACATTATCCAAAAGTATGTTGCCTATCTCTAAAATTAGGTACCAGGTACGGAACTGTCAAAAGTATCCAAATTTAACCTTTTGAAGCTTAAATTCCAGACGTTATGCTGTTTTATGTAATTTGAATAACATAATATTTAGTTCCAGAATTTTAGGTTTTGTACCACTAAAATGAGATTCTTTTCAAGATGTACAATCATCAGCACAAATACGATTACAATTGTTACAGTTACAAACACCGATATGATTGTGAGATGTTGTATTTTGATACTTTATATATTATGAAATTGTTATTTTACCGTAATTAATCTCCGTGTTTAATTTTAATTTTTTGTGAATTTCTAGAAAATGACAATCGTACCATGAAATTGGAAATAATCTCAAGTCTATCAATGCAAGTTTCTGTTTAGAAATTAGATATGAAGTTGCTACACGTTGTATACCTCTTATGGCCGGAGGGGTTGCAACGTGTGTACACGCGATTCAAAGATGTAACTGCATTCATAATTGATAATATATAAAGGATCGTTTGAATGTTACGTGGACCAGACTGGGTCGAGCTGTAGAGGTTTGGGAAAGTGTGCAGGTGTAATTTCTAAACAACTGCTGCGTTTAAAGTGGCTAATACGGAGAGGGTATAAAATTGAAAATGGCCAAAATCTAGTTTACATAATAATAACATTGAACATGCAAACGATGCCTAACGTATTATGTATGTATTGGAACTGTTGAGATTCTTACACGATGAGATATACAGTATACACTGTATATGAAAATTGGAAGATTTTTATTGGCAGTGAAACCCCTCAGTGATTTAACGTATTATACGTTATATGTAAACGGGCCCTTACGTGACAAGCGCGCATTTCGTTATCTGGGTCAATGCAACGCGCGCGTGCAATTTCTGTTTTAGTGAATGCGTATCTCAAAAAAGTTAACACGTACTTTTGTTTCGCGCGTTACGTTTTATAAAGTCCAAGAAAATGTGAGACGATAATTGGGACAATCAGTACGCCATTCTTCAAACAATGCCCGGCCCGCAGCAAAATTCAAGTACCGAATTTACACGACAATGTGACTACCAAAATGTTCACCAAATGAGTAAACTTTCCCCCATATTATTTACATTTAGGAGCATAAGGACCAATATTTATCGACTTGTAAGTTGTAATTATGTCACGAATATTTTAAGGTCCTCAATTGTGTATGCAATAATTGAGTGAGCTTACTTTTTTGTTATTCTTTTCCATAGACGATACAAATTTTAATGATTGTTGCTTCATTCATAAAAATGTACATGAAGTTGAAGTAAGTGGTGAAGTGACAAATAAAATGATATCATGTAAAATACAATTAATGCAATAAGTTGAAGATAAAATCTTGTATACAAATAGCAGGTATGCCACCGGGCTCGTCTAAATGGGGTCGTCAAAATGTTCTAAAACCTGAGTTCTAATTTTCTCGACTGAATATGTGCAGCTAAAAATAAATTAAGAGCAAACCAGTTTATGTTACCTAGATATGTGCTTATCAGTAAAAAATGTGGTAGAAATGAGTTTCGACCACATTTCGAATACCCCATTTGGACGGGACCAGTAGTACACCTGGAAAAGTAAGTTAAATCCAATAAAATTATAATTTCAGATTAAATTTGGGCACGTTGTCAAACATGATAATGATATCCACAATACAGCTAAAAACAATCACATAAATCCATGGTATTTGAGGTAGAATTAATTTTGGTGGGACAGTTCGCGTTTAAGATGAAATGTGAGCCGTGAGATGTGAGGTGAGAAAAGACATTTTCTTCTTAATCTACGTTTCCCCGGGTTGGTCTGAAAGAATATTGATAATAATAATGGTACCATCAAAATCAATTTTAAACCATCGTCAGCCGTCCATCACTCAGAATTAAAAACGAGCAGTCACCAGTGAATAGTTACTGATTAGTTACCAAATAGCTACTTTAGTATGGGTTTATTATAGTTGGCACTTGCAAGCTTCCCATCTCACAAGTGTTGCTAAATTTAGAGGCACAAAGTTTAGATATATAGCTAGTAGTAGTAGTAGTAGTAGTATATATAAAAACAATCATTCAGTCATTCCACATCACTTCCAATGAGTGATTTTGCACATACCAGTGATAAAGCCAGCGTGCTGAATTTCAATAAACATTAAACCTACCTCCAGAAAGCTAACTTAAGAGCAATAACATTGAATTAACATACCTACATTGAATAGTTACGATATGGTTAGGTCTATAATGATCACACTGTGTACACTGCTCTACATTCCTCAAATTCCTAGTCTATTGTGTGGTTTACTTTGTGTTGGAGGACTTAAAATTAAATAGTTTGGCGGGTGTGAATTGATGTATCTGGTCGCTGTAAACATTGTTTAACTTTTATTGGTTCATCCTATTAATAGTACATTTTACATAGTAAATTAAATCTAGACTGCACATTATCCTATTATTCACTGCATAAATATTCCGCAACTTTGTCCCAAATTACATCAGGATTCAATTTAAAAATAACCCTCACCGTGGCAACTAAACTTTGATACCAGGATACCATCTCAATTCGTCTCGCTTGCAGCATCGGCCGATTTATCACTATCACGTGTTAACAAAATTGCTTCAACTCCCCACTTTTATAGCCTATTGTAAGTATTTCTTTTTTGTCTTCTTATTGGTCGGCGTCGACTGTAGGCCTGCCTGAACGGCGGCTTTCACAACGCGTCCCTACATCTCCAACTCCTGCTGCTGGAGGGAGAGACTCCCAAGTTATAAAAATTCCATATTGTTATTGGTCATAGATATCGGCAACAGACTCCTGGAGCCTTGAAGCTCTGTTACAACCGCCCCTGGTGCAACCCCATCGGTTTAGAATGGAGAGACAGGGAAGTCCACAGGCGGGCGGTATGATTTTTATATTCTATTATGGCTCTCACTCTCAGTTTTACCGATCATATAATTGAAACATAATCAAACTCATGCAAATCCGTAATACACTGATCTTACAATGCATTGTAGGGCTGAACCCATTTTTAGCCACTTACTAAGGACCAGATAAGTATGAAGCAGAGGTTGTTAGTCTGGCAAGCTAACACTCACTGTGACTCACTCTGAATCGAATGGTTGTAGACTGTTACAGTATACACCTCAGCTTGCACTGAGTTGGTACCGCGTCACTCGTGTCCTTCCAGTCCATTTAAATTTAAAGTTATATGCCAATTTAGTTTTCAATATGAATAAGATTAAAAAGGGGTTAATACAATTTACAGAATGTTTAATTTCAAATTTCACTGATCATGCGATAATTCACTGTAATGTCAATAATCAATTATTTACAATAGCAAATTATGTACGGTAATTAACTATTTAGTGCAGTAACTAAGTCTCAATTACAAGACCGTTTAGACTTTTGCTTTTAAGATTCAATAATGCTATAACCTACAACATTCATGTAACATCTTGGCAAGTTATTAAGTGGAGCATTCTTAATAAAAAGCAACAAAGACGAAGTCTTAGTTTCATTATCAACGTAACTATCTATTGACAAAGAAACTTTACTGTCAGTCGGCAGTAGTATTCAACTGCAATATAACTGCAATGAAATGAAAAGTAACATTACAAGGTCAGGTGTTATCAGTAGTCGAGATAGTAAGATTATCATCATATCACGTGTTATATCGTCATCGTCATATCTCAGTCCGTTTAATGTTAGTCCGTGAGTCACGTGTGCGTCTGTGACACGTGTGAGTGTATGTTCCAGGAAACATCACGGAATGCAGCCAGTCGAAAAAGTTGCAAATTCCCGTGATGCTCATCTTAATGTCCCGGAAAAAGGAGTGGCTGTGGAACTGTGAACCGTGTATTGTCGTCACGGTGCTGGCTAGAATGTCGTCGAGTCCGCCGCCGTCAACTGTCGTCGTTGTCGCCGTGTCGTCGCCTAAAATTCAGTGTGTCTTATTGTCGGACTTTTGGAGGTAACTTGCTGTTTTCCTGTCCTAGAATTGAATTAATTTTTAATCTAATTATTAATTTAACAAACAAAATGTTGGGTTGGAAGTATTGCTGTTTGTCGTCGTAGTCTAGGTGATTCAAGTTTTACGTATCAGAAATAATTCGAATGAGCCTACTGGTTTTTAATTCGGTCTAAGTTAATTAACTTTCGTTAGTTTTGTTTGTCAGTGTGTACCGAAATTTTGTATTTCTATACTATTAAATAAGTGTATTTTAATCTATTAACAATTACTAGAAAATCTGATAATTTGCAACTTGTTATAAAAATGGATTTACAGCTATTATAAACAAGATACAATTATAGCGATAATATCTAAACTAATTAATATCACCTTGTAAATTAAGTGATGTTATCGACTTATTTTCAGCGAATTTTATAAGGTTTCACAAGTTTGCAGACGTTCAAATTATACAGCCGTTCTAAATTTTTGGAGTCATTCAGAAAATCGTCCATTATTACAATGAATTAGTTAAGGCCAGAGGTGGTTAAAACTATTTTTCTAGTTTCAACAATCAACATTATAATATAGTATATGTGTATAGTAGTACATGTGATAGTGCTGCTGGAGATGAACAAGTAGGAAAAAATCGGGAAAAATGTTAGATTTTTATGCGGTTTATTCCTACTTGTTCATCTTCATCCTCAGCAGCTCTATCACATATGATAAAATTGGATAAATTATTTTTACTTCTCCCCCCCCCCCCCCCGGCCCCCCCCCCGGCCAGCCCCCCACCCCTCAGCTGGCCTTGATATTTGGACACCTTTGATAATGCCAGCAAACTCATGATATGGAATGTTTACTCACATTAAGTTTACAGTGTGATTAAAATTAGCACATTGTTAACATTATAAGTTTACACGTTTCTAAGTGGACACACTCACAATGCTGCCAAAATTACATGACTGTTTAGTGTTTATTTAAGTATCTGTAACAAAAATAGCACGATAATAATTATATTCACAACATAATACACATCTAGACGGTAGTTGCTATGCAAGCTAAGCATTTGTAGACACATTATATCCCATCCACCAATCATGAGCAAGTATTTGAACCACGTGATTCAAACTAGCCAATCAGAACACAGTTTCACACCGTGTGATACAACCTAACCAATCAGTTGGCATGACAGACTGACAAATCGTTTACCAGGCAATAACCGACCAAAGTTTAGAATCAGACATCAATATTACGGTTTGAAAAATAACCACCCAATCACAATGCAAGTCAGTGCATACAAAACGATTTAAATTGACCAATCAGCGAGGAAATTAGCAGCTAGTTCCACCAGGAAATCAGCGTGTACTGAGTCACGTGTTTAGTCACGTGATAAGAATATAAGTCATGTGATAAGAAGTTGTGCAGCTCAGATAATCAATTTGTCGATCTTATCGAACACCGGGATTGTTCAGTGGGTGTGATTTAGCGCACAGCTACACACTTGAACCAATTATATTCCATCAACACTCAGTCAACACTCAACATCTGATATTCACACTGGTGTTTTTGAGATCCACAATTCTCACCATTTTCATTAAGATTATGATTGACAAACAACATGCAATATTCAATGAACATTGGAATGTTATTAAATATTAATCAACTCATGTTTTTAATGAATTCCCTTACTGTGCAGTTTTTCAAATGAACGAAAATACACCGAATTCTTTTGTCGGTAATCTAGGGCGATCCAGAAAAAACCCAGGAACATTATCATTACAATTATGTAATAGCTTCATTTTGTGACATCGACACATTTTATGTGTTGGTACTGCATTTCACTGATCAATAAGGGAGGCAAATTTTCGTTATAATATGTAATCTTTTGTTGTAATTTAACAAAATATATTACATAATAGCACAAAATATTTCGATTAACCCCGTACCATAAAAGAACGTATTTACAAATAAATCTGACTTTAAAAACTCTAAAAATTGCATAATTCAAATCTCATGCTTGAATCAAACATTCAAACAGTTAAGGCCAGAGGGGGGGGTAAATGGCACTTTTGTAGTTTTTGCATATTTGATAATAGCTACTGGAGACGAACAAAAAGAAAAAAACCGGATCAAAATCTGACCTTGCGCTTCTGAGATATCGCGCGCTCAATTTTGAGGTTTACCTGTAATTACATGTTAAACTGGAACTTTAAACGGCTGTAACTTTTTTGACCTTTCGATTCCTTAGTTGAGAAAACCGGCCAATCCCTGATCTTGAGATTTGGTACAGTGGTTCCTTGGACAATTATCCTCACATCTGGTGCAGCGATTTTTTTTATTTGACTCTGTTCTCAAATTATGAGGTTAACCATGTCAAAAATTCGGAAAATTTAATTGGTTAACCTCATAATTCGAGAAACGAGTCAAATAAAAAAAATCGCTGCACCAGATATCTAGATAGTTGTCCAAGGAACCACTGTACCAAATCTCAATATCAGGGAGTGGCCGGTTTTCTCAACTAAGGAATCGAAAGGTCAAAAAATGTGTTTTGAGATAGATGCAATTTAGTGTTTTCAAAATTTTGAATATTCACTGGAATGTATCACAGTTCGTTAGTTAGGACTTTTTATACACTTAATAACGTTTGCTTGATCAGACCTGGCCGTCTCCTAAATGATTTTAGCCACTTTCAGTAGTTAATGTCCTTGTATTCTAAAAAATGAGGTTAACCAAGACTTCCTCACTTCCTGTAAACACTAACTGCTTAGAATTTGGTTGTTAACCTCGCTTTAGACCATATAACACTGGGATTGGTTTATCAATATGTTACTATATATGTAGTAAAACATTTGTACAGTATAACGATTCAGTTTTTGAGGTTAACATGTAATTGACTGGTCAGATATTCAAAAAATGAGAGGTTAACCTCATTTTTTAGCCATTTACGGGTAAAATCTTCTACTAAAATATGGTCAGTTCAAATCACCTTTGTCACGTGATTATAGTTGTAGGCATTGTGATACCAATAGATACCTCACTTCGATATTGTGGTACATTACATAAATAAGAATCGTATGTATATTCCCTACGGTACCAAAATGTGATGGTTAACCTCATTTTTTTCATTTTCTCAAGATCAAAGAAAGTCAATCAACACGTCATCTATTTAGAAATTTGTATACCGTAAACTTACGATGAAAATAATAACTCTATCATTTGATCTATTCTCGATATATCTAAAAGAAGAGGTTAACCTCATTTAATCACGTTTGGATATTACTTTTTCTGATAATTATGAACCTAAAATTTAGAGTTAACATTTGCTGACCGAAATAACAAAAAATTATGGCGTGTAATAAAATATGAACCTCAATTTTATTAACCTCAATGTTGTATAGTCAATTTTGTGAAAATCGGTTAACCTCAATTATAAAATAAAGTTAATCAGCTACAAATATGTGAATAGCAGCATTGTTTTTGTCACCAAAAATTAAATCGATTTAGAAAATAATATTTTGGTAGAATTTTTTGACCCCTTACCCCCCCCTCTGGCCTTAACAACAATAATTGATGTCGTGTTGACAATAATTGATTTAGTTAACAATAATTGATGCGAAAGAGCATGACCCAAATCCGTCTCAAAAACAGTCTTGTCCGACTCATTCTGTCTGCGCTATAACACACCAAAAACTTCCCTCAGCTGGTCCAAGAGAACCCCGAGATGTGTGGCGCAGTATTTAAGTGAACTCAGAGAGCGTTTCCTTGTGTTTGATATAACACTCTCACGTGTGATCTTTCCTTGCGTTTCATCTCCCAGGTCCAGGACGTCCTGTATATGTAAAGCTGCAGATCCCGACTCAAAGAATGGTGCAAGTTGATGTTGAAACTGGGTGAGTTTTGCGTGTGAGTGGTTACAGAGGACAGGCTACCACGAGTGTCATGTGATGCGTTGCACGTGTCATGTGATGCGTTGCACGTGTCATGTGATGATGACCACGTGTTAATTGTCATGTGATGATGACCACATGTTAATTGTCATGTGATGATGACCACATGTTAATTGTCATGTGATGATGACCACATGTTAATTGTCATGTGATGATGACCACGTATGAGAAGCTTGGTGATTATGCTGCTTGGTGTGATGTGTTGCAGTGCTTTGAGTGCTGGAATGAGAATACGGCACTCTCTGTTTACATTATGAAGTAAGATGAAGGAGGCGAATCCAGAAAAAGGGGAGATTGTGAGAACAAACAAAGAGATGACGTCACAACGGTTGACTCGCGTTTTTAGCAAGCAACGTGAAAAAGTGAGATGGTAAAACTTAAAGGTAACGGTAGGTGGTTTATGGCAACTTTTTGATCTCAATACATTTGACCTAGTTAAAGATAGATCGTGTCTAGTGACGATTGGGTTCAGTTGTCGTTTCAATGTTAATTAGGTTTATAATTGGGTTTATAATTATTTTCCCAAGCTACCATGTCTGGGAAAAGTCAAAATTGAGTTCAGTTGTCCGGTAGCCCCATGTTAATGGTAACGCATGTTCAGTGACGACGAGAATTCAGCTTCAATTTAAACTAGGTTAAGCGGATTTATCTTAATTAAAGTTAGCCCCGGCCTCGATTAGAAACCGATTAAGTTCTTGGTTCGAGTCAACCATGAGTCAATTTAATGATGCCTTCCAATTATTGAATTATTACTTCTTAAGCTTCCGCCTAAATACTTGCAATTGCCCTCGATCGAACAATGTATCGCGCTTTTATCACGTTGTTTATATTTATGTTCGTCATGTAAATGGACATAATAACAGTCTAAACAGTCTAAAAGTAAAATGATAAGATCATGATCGTGATGAAATGTGCTTTACGTTGATGATAGCATGTATGCTGTTGTGGAAAGCTTTGCAGCTACTTGACAAAGTTACCAACTCGCAAAATTATTGGCAATCTGTCAAATTTAAATTAATAAACCCACCAATTCATAAAACATCGCATTATTGTAAGGACACGTTCATTGAAGTTTGAGGATATTGGTAAATATTAGTGGCCCTATTAAATGGCACGATTAGGTAAAATTGTCACACCATGGAACTATATAAACCCTCCATGGTTAGAATAATCGTTTCGTCCTGTAGGTAAACTTTGTCACATTACACATAACGATGTCTTCATCAGATGATAAGACATCTTCATCAGATGATAAGATATCGCTGAAATTCGGCCGGCAGTGAGATGCAACATTGTCACACTATAAAAACGTGACGGTCCCTTGCTGCCGTGTTTGACCAAATTTTCGAATTTCAAGTTCATAGGATAGTTCCAGTTAGTTCCATTATATGACAATTATCTACATATTTAACGACTTTTTTCGTTAAAAGGTACCACCATGACCAGGTAAATTCCGTCACACATTTAGGACATTTATACGAGGGACGACACCCTGACAAGGAATGCCGAATAGTCTGGCGTTATTTTATGACCTAAATGTGTTGGGAAGTGTTAAAATATATCAATATTATAAGCAAATAAAAATTTGTAAGGCACAAATAGGTAAACTTTGTCACATATATTTGTATGATATCTCAACATGTGTGAAATTGAGCAAATATTGGTAGACCAGCTTAAACACCCGATATTACGTACTATGGATCAATCAACACTATTTCAACCACGCACCGGTCAACCACGCACTGGTTCTTTGGTAAAAGAACCATTAAATAATGAATTAAAGGGTTTTGAGGACACCTCACAGTAGAAAAGAGGTACCATATTCAGTCACAAAAATGTGACATTTTAACCATTATAGTGCCTAACAACAATAGATTTTCATGCTGAGCAGTGTATAGATTAATAGATATTAAAATTAAGCCATTATGCTATTGTCGAAAAAGCTATTTTTTAATTTACCAACATCCTCAAACTTCAATGAACGTGTCCATATACATTTACCTAATTAATTTATAACTAGCAAATTAAGTGCGTATTAACCAACCTGCAGTAAATGATTTAAGGTCTGCTTGTCTGTCAAACCCCGACGATATATGCTGCGTCGCTCTATGACCAGACGTGTTCCCTGCTGAACTCTTAACTGACTGTTCCTTCTGCCTTTGTAACATTGTCCAGTCAAACACATTGTCATACGTGTACTCGAACCTGGAGTAGGAAGGTTTAACGTTCTGTGTGTTATTTTTTTGGCACGTGACAGCCCTGAACCAACCAGCGCTCAGCGCCACGTTGTCATGCGTCAAAAAAGCAGTATCTTTTCAATCAAGAGAATATATAATATAGAAAATTGATAATCTAAAGAAAAAATTACGATCAGTGTTTGTATACTGTCGCCTTTTCAGTGTACAAGGATATATGTACTTTTGTCAGTTTTTAGCGTGTATTATTATTATATTGTACACAGCTACAGTGTACACACATGGCATTTACTTTTTGTGTTGCCGATTGAAATTTGCGTATCAATTGGTTTTTATGTATCAGCCAACTAAGTGTAACACGATACACATCTAAAAAGTGGCACAAAGAAAAACTGTAAAAGACACGCACATCTTAATACTATCTGTGGTTGTTACTCAATACTCACCCACTTGGTAGACACGAGACATTATTCAGATTACGTAGGTTAATTGCATTAATTAGATTAACTAAGTAGTGAGTAATAACTAATAAGTAGTGAGCAATGAGTATGATATATGTAGCAAGGACAAATTAATTTGAACATATCAATAAAATGCATTAATTATATCAATTAGACCAAAAAATAATTAATTCAGTAAAGAGACAGTTTGGACTCACCTAGTAAAAACCTTTTTAAACAGCTGCCTCAGATAACTATAATCCGGAGCATCCTCAAACTTTAGACTCCTACAATAACTGATATAAATCCGGAATTCTTCCGGATAACCGTTACACAGCGATTCCGGACTCGTGCTCACTTTCTTTTCGCATATTCGCTCATATTTCTGTTTTTTGTTTGCCGCGCGCAGCCCCTGCCACGGCAACTGGGATATGTTGAAATACATCAGTACGTATCCGAGACTCTCCAGGTCATCTCGCCGGCTCTGTTCGATACCTTGGTGGGCATTGATACTGGCATACCGTGCTGTCCCCGTTAAATTCTTCCCTTCCCTAAACTGTATGTGTTGTCGCACGGCATTCCGATATTTTTTTGCCAGCCCAAAGTCTATAATATAACACTTATGATTAAGGTTGCTGACTCCCATGAGGAAGTTGTCAGGTTTGATGTCTCTGTGAATAAAGTTCCTGCTGTGTACGAACTCAATCCTTGTCAACATCTGGTCAGCTAACATCAGGACAGTTTTGATGGAGAATCTTCTGGAACAAAAGTTAAAGAGGTCCTCAAGGCTGGGCCCTAACAGGTCGATAACTAGGACGTTGTACTGTCCTTCTTGTCCGTAGTAGTGGGCGTGGGGTATACCTGGGTAATTACTCCATTAGTTACATATTTGAAATTTATTTATTCTAATATTAATTTAAGTTGTACAAGGTATTTCTTCACAAGGCCATTACCAGCTTACACAATAAAAATAGATCTTCAATACAACTTAATTTGTAGGGGCCACGGCCAGGAAGCTTATTATATAATAATCTATTCGACGACTCTCCTGTATTCGAAATTCGGAATTTTGTGTCCAGTGTGGTAAAAATATTGCTTAGTGAGTTTATTACTTCTTCGTTTAAATAAGCTCACAATGAGAAAGATGTCATGAATACCTTAATTGGGCCATATGGCATATAATGGTTAAAAAAGACAAAAGAGAATGATCATATTTTCATCACAATGATATATTATTATAAAGAAGCCATTGTACAAATTGTACTATTAGTTAGGATGAAGTGTGACAATGGAAACAATTTGGTTTCTACAGCCCTCCGTACGGCAAAATAGGTATACTATCCCTGAGGTATATAAATCCTGTGACATAGTGGCCACACTTCTTCAGACGTGGTTGGAAAAGCGTACGTGGTTTCAAACAATAGCTGAGCAATCGGAAAATTCGACATGTCACAAAGGAATTTGAGGGCTGAGCTTACAATCGCGGTCATATGTGTTTCCAGCGCTCTTTCAAGACCTCATTCTTTACATTTGGTTTGCTGCGTTTATTAATTAACAGCTTATTTGGCCATTTTCAAAATCGTTATTTGATATTATTCTTGGACTACCGGTTGCTTACGATTCATATTGAAAACAAATTATTTCGAAAAGAGCAATATTCTGTAATATATGATTATAAAAAATGTTCTAAAATGTTCTAAAATGTTACAAAATTTCCCAATGACTTCGAAAATGAAGTTTAAAATTAATCAAAGTAATGACTTTAGAGAGTTTCTAAGACCTGCACTTTAGTTCCTAAACCAAGAATGTCTAGCGAGATCGTTAAAATGAATCCTATGATTAAAATTGTAATTCAAACACTGGTCAACAAAGTCTCTTGCTCTACAATCCTCAGTAAAATCCCACTCAATTAGTTTCTCTCCCACAATATCCTCCTTCTTCAGAAAAGGAGGGTTCAGCTTCAAGAGGGCGTAAGCCAGACATCCGATACTCCATACAGCTGCAGGCTGTAATTGATAGCACCTGTTGATGTAGAATTCTGGAGGAACGTACCCCTCAGTTCCTTGGAATGTGGCGTAAGATGTACACTTGTCCGTGATAGCTGAAGCTGATCCAAAGTCAATAAGTTTGATGTGTCCTGTTCTAGGGTTGTACAGAATGTTCTCGTCCTTTATGTCTCTATGATCCACACCGACAGAGAGAAGGAATGTGCTCACTTGAATGACTTGTCTGATGATAACTCGTGTAACAGCTGAACTCATAGGACCACATTTTATGAGCACTTTAAACAAGTCCAGGTACTCAGGATCGTACTCCATCACGGACATCCAGAAGTCTCGTTCCAAGAACAGATCACAGAGTTGCACAATAGAGGGGTGGTCAGCTTTCTCCCAGAGGAGGATTTCGTCAGGCATGTCCATTTGTCTACGGGGGCACCATGTCTTCCGGTGGTATTTCCTGTCGTGAACTATCTTAACAGCGTGGAGTGTTCCAGTTGTCTTCTTCTCACAGACAAACACAGTTCCGTACCCTCCCTGTCCCAGTTTGTTCAGAAGCGTGTAGTTATCGAAAAAGGAATCAGGAGCCGGCTCGTCGGACTTTCTTCTCAAGAAACCGAACATGTTGAGATCGCTATTGTTCAATTGTTGAAAGTAGATGTAACTAGTAGATGTGGAAACGTAGATAGCTAAGGGTGGGTCCCTACTGATTATATATTATTGTAGGTACAATGTACATGTTGATTCAACAAGGCCGGGTTTCAGACTGGGAATTTGAGAAACCAGGCTTACAAGGATTGGGTGATCACGTGACCAGGTGCTTGATCACATGATCAGTTTCATGTTCAGCTGATCAGTCACGTGGTCTGGTGTTTAGATTGAGAAAACGTGAGGTCACATGACATGACATGAAACTTGTCAGTTGTAAGATGTTTCTCATTCCTGAATTCTTGATCTCGTTAAAATGACGTACAAGTTTTCTATTGGTCAATTCTTTAATCATGGGATTCTCGGTGAAATCTTAGATGACACGAAAGCAAATAACAGGAACTATATAGCATTGTCGCATGATGCCCAATGTATCAACTATTTAGCTATTTAATATACGTAATGGTTCTTCCTGTAACATGTATGGTAAGCTTAATAATTTAGTGCATCGAAATCATATGTATTTTTGGCGGAACAGAAATGAACAATTGTTGTATCTTTTTAGGAATAACAATTACCACGAACCTGGACCATTTTGTAAAATCTTGTAAATCTTTGACTCGTATTGTAGCTGTAGATGTCTCGCCGTAGTGCTCTCTATCTTTATCGCCACCTAAATCGTAGCTTTTTAAAAATCACTGCACCTCAATCCAAGATCAGGAATTACCAGATTACCAGATCCTATACTTAAGAATACTCGATATTTGTATACCAACCTGACATACGCACAATTGTATACCACTGCTTGATCAATTTTCTTGCTGTGGTCAAGTACATTTCTTATTATCCAGATCTTCATGTTTAAAAAAAGTAGCTCGGCCATTAGTGAATCAGTACATGAATCATTACACACACGAGATTGGAAACATTTTGATCTGAGAACATTTCCTGAATCTAGCAAGTAAATCACAAAAACCAGCGAGTATACGACCATTTTAACACTTTATGTGGATAATCATAAAGAAAGTATGAGTCAGTTCGACGGTTGTTTTAATAATCTTAATATACTTCTTCTTGGTTTTTTACTTGAAACTAACAAGCTTGTTTTACTCGAAGGATTAAAATACTGTACTGCGTAGTGTGTAGATTGTAAGATCGATTTTTCTAAGATAAATGGTATGGTGAGTAAAATCGATTTGCCAAACACTAAACAGGTAGTGTCAATAAAAAAATCAACTTCTCCAAGTTTTTAATAATTCTGCATATATTGCATATATTATTTGATCTAATAAGCTGTTTCTGACAAAGAATTTCTGATAAACAGCACAGCCTCCATTGAGCATTAGTAAGTAAGGTTTGAATTTACCTCATCACCAGAATGGACGTTTTGAGCGGTATAAATCTCTCCAAAGGAACCACTTCCAATCTTCTTTACTAGTCTGTACTTGCCTGAGAATTTTATGGATAATAAAATAGCAGAAAAATATATCCTTATTCCTTATTAAGGTTAATAAATATGAATAGAATTCAATTTTAAATGAAAATAGTACGTGTAGAACTATGTTTATAGTACACTACAATGTAGATGTAGGAAAGATTTTGATGATTATATTATGTACTAACCATTTACAATGAATTCCATAAATTTCACAATGTTCCGGCGCAACAATTTACCAGCCTACTCTTGAAATATCATATAAGCAAATTCAGACTTGAATAAACGTGGTACTGTCCTTCTAATCTTATGTTGACATAGTTTTTCCTACAATACTTAAGGTAAAAACACATCACATGTAATCTATCTTACTATGAGCAAAATTTGGCGATAACCGAGTGGCTGTGGCAAGTATACAATTGTAAGTGTATTGAGAAATGGTGGCTTGTGATCAAACATAAACAAAAACAACAATGCTGGCAATGTATTATCTGGCAAAGATATGTGACATTTCTTAGATAATGATGTGATAGATGTGAACTACATTACATAGTGGGGCTAATACTTTTAGTACAATCCTGAAATAATCTTATCCACAAATAAGAGGCTGAATCTTTTAATCCAACATTTAAGGATTTGTAACCATTTGAACATTTAGTTCCCTAGGCCTGGTTTAACGACAGAAAAATCAAGTGAACGTTTCCTGTATTGTAGTATAATAATATCATTATTTAGATCAGTAAGTATTTTTATATGAAAGTTTATGTGGAGTCAAGCGGTTTTGGGGTAGACCGAACTGCTCAGATGATGGGTTTTATCATAAAAAAGCTATGGAATTCGAATATAGCGGTAGTAGAGGAATATTATTATTGCATCAAGAGTGACCTACCAGCAACAAGCAGTTTGTTCTTGGGGTCCTGTCCATTTTCGGAGGTGCCCGCAGTCCCAGAATCCATTCCTTTAGAGACACAGTTAAATCTTTGGTCGCATAATAGCGTCAGTCACGGTAAATTTTTCATGATTGCTATGAGAGATTGAGAATGAAAAGTAAATTTATTGAGAAATAGGACCTTAAAGGCCAGAGGGGAGGAGGGGGGGGGGTAAATGCTCAAACAAATTTACAAAAATATTATTCTTTAAATAAATTCATTTTTTGATGACACAAATTTTGCTGCCATTCACATGACGTATAATAATAACAATTACTGATTGCCAAGCTTTGATGCCTAGGCAGTCGAGACCTCTTATTGAGACCCGATATAATAATAACTAGAAATTTATAAATCGCTCAAAGATTCAGTTCAAGCCATCTAAAGCGACTCATGAATATGTACATAAGAACTTATTTTTATGAAGTATGGGTTTTATGAAAAAATTATTATATGTTACTTATATGAATGCTTTTTCAAAGAGATGAGTTTTTAGTCTCTTTTTAAACAAGACAATATCGGTTAATGTTCTCAATTGATAAGGAAGCTGGTTCCAAACAGAGGGTCCACATTAACTAAAACTTCTCTCAGTTTTACTATAATTTGAAACAGGAGGAACATTTAGGAGGAAATAGTCTTGTTCAGTCCGTAGTACACGTACACTGTACAGGTTGACTCTATTTGTAAGGACTGCTTAACTTTTTTTGAAGTAAGTAAGTCAGAGGTTAATAAAACTAAGGTTAAGATGTTATTACACTCCAAGATTTTTGTTATTTCGGTCATGGTGTTAATGTTAACTCTAAATTCTAGGTTAATAATTGTTAGTAAAAACGATATCTAAGCGTTTAAATAAATGAGGTTAAACTAGACTCTTAATTAAGGTATAGCGAAAATATATTAAATGATAGTGTTGTTATTTCCATCATAAGATTACGGTATACAAATTTCTAAATAGATGTAGTGCCGATTTACTTGAAATCTTTTTTACTTTCTTTTTACTAGAAAATGAGATTAACCATCAAATTTGGTACTGTAAGAATTATTTACATGCGATTCTTACTTTTGCTATGTACCATAATATCACCGTGAGGTATCTATTTGTATCCCAATGCCTCAACTATGATCATGTGACAAAGGTGATTTGAACTGACCATATTTAAGTAGAAGAGTTCACCCGTATATGGCTAAAAAATGAGGTTAACCTCTCATTTGTTGAATATCTGCCCAGTCAATCACATGATAATCTCAAAAACTTAATCGTTACACTGGACAAATGTTTTATTACATGTATAAAAATATATATTGATAAACCAATCCCAGTGTAATATGGTCTATAGTGAGGTTAGCAATCGTATGTTTACTACTACTACAAGATATCATGATAGTTAACTTAATTTTTAGACAAATTTTGCTTTATGATATTAATTTTCTCGACATAAAGTATCTCAATAAACATCTTCTCACCAGTGGCGTAACGAAGGGCCCTGCTGACCCCGCTGTGCAGGGGGGCGCCGTCTTAGGGGGGCGCCAAATCGTCGTTTGAATGTGGGACAATTTCGAAAACTTAACTAAAGTACTAGCAAAACTGCGCGTTTTGCTCTAGATACACACTTTTTTAGAGATTTTACCGGCGTATCCTCTTAAATCGCCTAATTTGTTCAATTTTAGGGAGGGGCACCAAAAGGAGAGGGGGCGCCAACAGGGGGGCGCCTTTTCGGCAGGGGGGCGCCAACAGGCAACGTTACGCCACTGCTTCTCACCTTAAAGCAAAAATTGTATGGAGAAAACTCAATTTACTCGAAATGGTTATTTTCCATAGAAAGCCCAAATTAAAAAAAGACTGGCCACACCCAAGACCTGAATCTTGGCATAGGTGTTCCTTGGGCAGTCACCCACAATTCTATTGTACAGAATTTTGTACAGACTGTCTTTAAAAAAGAAAACTAGGGGTAAAGTTAACCTCATATTTCAAGAACAGAGGCAAATAACAAAATTCTGTACTATAGAATTGTGTGAAACAGTTTTCCAAAAGTTGAGCTCTATCTGGAAAAAAGATATTACGAGTTTGTCTTACTTCAGCTTCAGTGCATAATTGAAAGACACTCCCCCTCCTTGTCCAATGTCCAGGAAGAACTCAGATGTACTGCTCCCTGAACCCTGACTTCCATAGACTATAACAGTGTGATTTTAGAGGATACGCCGGTAAAATCTCTAAAAAAGTGTGTATCTAGAGCAAAACGCGCAGTTTTGCTAGTACTTTAGTTAAGTTTTCGAAATTGTCCCACATTCAAACGACGATTTGGCGCCCCCTTAACACGCCCTTCGTTACACCACTGTCGCATTGTATGGTGTTGAGATCTCTACTTGCTTTGTGATGGTTCATTGGACACTATATGGTAGACCTTAGTCGCAGCCCTGCAAGGAAGAGCGTAGCATGGAATCCCTACGCAATAAGCATGATGCCCTTTTATCTTCTACTATTGACAGACTGACAGGGTCAGGAGTGCGACTTTTATGCAATCTCCTGCGATCAGTTTTTGTTGTGCAGTAGTGTTGCAAGAGAATAAAACCAACTTATTATGTACTAAATGGAATCAAGAATATTATTGACTATATTTGATAACGATGAATTGTAAATTTCGATCAATTTATATTTTTCGGTCTCCAATTATTGAACTGCGGAAGCTGGTTGCCTCAACAATGTTGACTATGCATGGTATGACTGAATTGTAAAAACGTGATAATTGAACGAAAAATAAATGATGAACATGATTCAAAAACTGTAAACCACCAAATGAATTATCGCTTAAATTTAAATAAGTATTTAAACAAAAACCACCATGTGCCGTTAAACAGCAGGGCGCGGCTCATCTGGGCCACAGCAAATCGGCGAAAATGGGTTCGAAAAAGCCACTATTGGCACTCGAGTCCTTGATCTTTCCGATGGTTCACTGGGGCTTTTGAGCTGCCGTCCTTCAGCTTCTGTAAACTGAAATTACTACCAATCCAAGTTGAAGCAATCAGCCGACGCGCGGCTTTTATGGTTATATATGATATGTTTAATCTGTAATAAAGATCAAAATTCAAATTTGTTTCTCTCAAAATTTGTTTCTCTCTCTCAGCCGAATAATTGGGAAATCCGTGACTGAGGATTAAATGAGGAGCTGGAGGGTATCCAAAAGATGTATAATCTACAAGGATACTCTATAATAATACGCAGCAAGCAAAATTGCAACAGAAAGCAGTACATTAAACAATAAATTATTTTTCTCCTAAAATGTGTGTTTCTCTATCATGATAGGTATCCAAACAGTACACTGTGGGTGTACTGAAGGGGTATCCTACAAAAAATATGTATCTATTGGGAGGGCCCTTCCTCATTTAACTAAATTTAACTTCTTGATGAGTCAATTATTTTTCTAATCATCGGGCAGAGTTGACAAAGGAAACATTACAGTGCAGTACGGAATGGATGTTTTCAATGAAAACAAAAAGTTTGAAGAGTTTATCGCTCCTGCTAAATCGCTCGCCCAAATTTTAATAAAGTTCTTGTGAAAAGGTCCTTTGAATATGAAATTGATCTAAATCGGTGTATTTTGAACGCTAATTCCAAGTCAACCCCGGATCCAATTAAACTATAATATAGTTTTTTTGTAATATAGTTCACATAGCCATGTGTATACGCGTACTGCGTGACCAGTGACGCGTTTCACAAGTTGAATATATATTCTTTGCTATGCCGCCTTCGGCGGTCGCGCGCTACTGCAAGCGAAAGGGCTCTGGTTAGAGCAAATAATATAGTTCCGAGCATGCTACATAACTTTACAGTTGTGATTTGATCTTCGAGATGTTTTAAAAGGGCTCCCGTGGCAGTTAATTGACGATTGACGATGTCGATTCATGGCAGCTCGGCGCGGCACAGTAACGCATCGCGCTACAACCGCGGCAGTTGAAAACCTTAACGGATGTGCTACTTCTTCAAAGTAGCACATAAAGTAGCACATAAAGTAGCGCGGGTCATTTTCGTCTCGAAATGGCCCGCGGCAAGTGCTACGAAGTGCAAATCAATGTATTTTTGAACGTTGATCTCAAATCACCCCATGCGCCATGACATTAATAATAAATAAATTGCTCTCTAGCTGACGCGACGAGATATTGGCGAAAAACTGTGACCGTATGAGGAAGTAAATATAATTTCTTGTTAGGTTTAGGGTTTCAGTTTGACGGATGTTAAGCTCGTCTAAATTTCTTCGAAGTAGCGCGTGTCGGACGCGGACGCGGGGCTCAAAAACGTTCTATTTCATCGTTAAAAAGCACAACCGCGTGAGTAGCTTTTGTCAAAGTGCCTCGAAAAAGATTTTATAAACGATTCATCGTTTCAGTTAAGCGGTTAGGGATTATATTAGATAAAGGATATTATATATTAGATAAGGGATATTTAAATTTAGGCTTGGGGTTTTTTTAAAGGGTCCGGGTTAAAGTTTTGAATAGTCCTGGACGGACCTAAGACCTTCAGCATTCAGGGCCTTTTTATAGATAACTTGCTAAAAATTCACGCGACAGTCGAGTGTAGTGTGATTGGTGATCAATCAGGCCAGGTCTGCCAGGATCCATTTTATGCGCAGTTGCAGTAGCGTGTGCCAACCATACGGCTATATCAATATGCACAATGTGTTGGAACCCTGTTCTTGGGTTAATTAAATAACAAATAATACTCAATTATTATAAATACAAATTAGATGAATAAAGAGGTTATACAAATCTTGTGTCAAAAGTAACCTTGTTACTCTACAATGTACTCTCTTAAATAGTGAATGATTGATATGGTGTGACTCAGTAACTCACACTACTCTGCTCTGACTAATAGTTAAAACACATTTCAATACTAAACTAAACAATGTCTTTTTTACTATTAGATTAAACTACTATTAAATTAAAACTACTACTCCTGATGATGATGTTCTTCTTACTATATGAGGGACTTCTGAATGATGAGGACTTCAAGTAAAACTGGAACTGATAACTATAAAACAAAAACCCTGGGGGAAAACTACCGTGAGTAAAGTGAAAGGTAATCCACGTGAAACTATAAATGAAAGTGAAAGAGGAAGCGGGAACTCCTAGACTAAACTACTAAACTATAACTATAAACTACTTACCACTCTTTCCACGTCACAGAACACAGATAGTATCTGTCGACTGGAATCTGTGGGATCACTAAAACAACGTCACTCCTCTCCCTTCTGCTACGCTAGAGTCTGGAGTCGACAACGTCACTCCTCTCCCTTCTGCTACGCTAGAGTCTGGAGTCAACTAAACACTGGACACTCCTCTCTCTTCTGTTACTTCAACTAGAGTCTGGAGTCGAGCCTTGTCTGCCTTCTGGAGTCCCTTTACCCCAACACTGTATATACAATTGCAATCACTGGAACTAAACCTTTGCTAAAGTGAGATACAGGGTTAGTAATATGAAGTACAAAAACAAGCTACAAATAGAATTAAGATTCTAACATTCCCCCTACTTTAAAAAAGAAAAAGTACTTACTAATAATTTAACTCATGACTTTTACAATCTTAAAGTCATAACTCCCTATACTTTCTTTGTTAAAAAATACTATCCGACTATCCGAGTTAAAATTAGGAAATAAACTCTAGCAAAAACCGTAGAGTTAAGAATATTCTAATCCCCACACGCAACACAAAAACGTGTCGTGCGCGCTAAACGAAAAAGATACTTTCTATGAGTTTGAGCTACAAATGCGCGGCTCAAACAAAGGCAAATCTAATACGTGTCATGTCCACTGTCATAAAAGCAGATAACTAAAAAAGCAGTTAACGATTATTCCATATTCGGCGAGTCACGTGGTACAAGTGGATTAAATCTCTGTTAACGCGGGAAAAACATCCGCTGTAAAACAGGCTAGTGGCTAAAATGACTGCCTTCCACGCTGAGCGTGAGATCTGAGAGATATAATACTTGTACAAAACGTCCGATAGAATTAATACAGTCTAACTATTAGCTAATTAACTATCAAAGTTCTTAATACGAAAATCTCTTTTCTATGAACGGAACTGAAGCATCGTTCTAGGACTGACAGGTGCACAAAAAATACCCGTCCAACACTGTAATCAAGTGTGATCTTTAGAGATTTCTGTATCGAGTTATCTTAATGACAGAAACACTGCGTACTAAAACTAAATATTAGGAGCTATTCAAGCTTTAAACACAACCTCTAGAGAGTCAATAATGAGTCACTAACAAATCATTGACACACACCACTGTACTAAACAGTTCTAAAACGTAAAATACATGAATTCTGTCGTTTAAAAACAGGTTCAAACTGAGTCCCTAAAGGCTCGGGATCAGTGAAGAACATGTAATAGCATGTTGATCGAAACGACAGCATTCTTATAAAACAAAACTCACGCTGAGCAAGCTGCTCCGAGCACATCCCAACAGAAAATACCAAACATCCCCTGTTAACACTTCCTACAGAAGATGCAAGTTAATAAAGTAATATCAGGTAAACACTTTCATGTCTTTGAGAAGAAAAGGATCGTCTTTCTGAAAAGTAAGTTTGAAACTGAAATGTTAGACTTTTAGAAGTAGGAATCTGAAATATTCTGTTAGCGGTAATTTTATTACACATGTCACGTACAAAATGTACTTTAAATTGTATCTATTAATCCTTATTATCTCTACACCATGTAATAGAAAATTTAGCAAATCAACTGACAAATGTGACCGTGCGCTACAACACAAAGAAAAGAAGCGCTAAAGCTGGTACACACGTCTAAATTCGCTAACTAATCTATCTTTCTCCCAAAATTGTTGAAAATTTAGCAAATACAACCAAAGTTCAGTTACCAGACTAAGAGAAAAGAAAAGAAAGGATAGACTGGTTCCTAAAAATGGGATTCACTAACTTTTCATCAAACATTCCCAACTTACTACATTCTCAGTAAAAAAAATATGAACTAACGACAAAAAATTGTCAAAAATATCCTCCCAAAACTTCTGTTCGAGAAACTTCTCTAGAACATAAAAACACAAAAATAATATACGTGTAAAGAGTTACAAATGTTTAAAAAAATTAAAATCTGTTAAATACAAACACTTCGTGCATGGTTAAAAGTCTCTGAAAGGTGAAAAATGTAAAAATGACTCGTTACAAAGTTGGTAATTCTAACAATACTAATATATACACACACATTTAAAGTTAAAAGTTATTACAAATGACGTTAAAAAGTTATTGTTTAACCAAATTGACATTTCAAACAACAAATAATCCGAGCAAAAATATTCAATCTCTTTCTACAACATAAAGTCCAAAACAGTTATACTCTCTCTGACATATTCACAGTATCCTTGATCTATGACTTAAGCGAGCTTGCTGAAAACTGCACCTCTCTTCGTGAGACATCCTGAACAATCTTTAACCTCTGCACTTGTACAGAGTTATCCAACTCAACTGATACGGGTTCACCGTTTGACTCGTCCAGTCGTACATTGTAAAGATTTTTGTTCTTCCCTGTAGGTTTCCCGGCTCTACCTATCACCAAGGCATTATTCCAATCATCACTCTCCGAGGATCTGAACCTGATAATGTCATTCTTCTTTACACCCACGCCTGTTCTGGTTTGACACACACTTTCCCAATCCGACTGATTCACTGACAGATCTGACAGATTCACACTCCCTGAAACTGAACTTACAGTTCCATGGTCATCTGGCTCAATTTCTGTCTCAATTTCTGGCTCACTTTCTGGCTCACTGTCTTGATCCACATTACCTGAAACTGAGCTCACAACTCCATGGTCCTCTAGCTCACTATCTGGCTCAATTTCTGGCTCATTGTCTTGCACACTCTCATTGTCAGCTCCACTGAATGTTTCTAACTCCTCCTCTTGATCACTTTCATCGTCACTTAGTGACCATGGCGATGTAATCTTCTCCTCTAAAACAGGACGGACCTTAGTTTCTGTTGCATGATTAGTTCTTCCAGAATCTGTTTGGCTGATAGAACTTTCACATCGTCCTATGGGTATCATCATGTGTCCTGACTTAGTGATCACTAGATTCTCTTCTCCTCCGAAAGCATAAACTTTGTCAGTTTCAGTATCGATCTTCATCTTCATCTTTTTCATGGACTCTCTAGACAGTAACAGAGGAATATCATTTTCCACAATAAACACGTTTAAAGTTACTTTCTGACCACATATTGTTACTGGGAGTATTTTCTGTATCTGGCTGTAACTGCATCTCCATCCCCGAAACAAAAATTCTTCTCACAAGAGGTCACTTTGACCTCTTCTTGTTCAGCTGATGTAAGAGATTCCTCGAAGACTGTCAGCCATTTCTTCCCACACACTGTGGAACTAGCACCTGTATCTAAAAGTGCTCTATTTTTCGATTCTCCCATAAGACACTTGTCTTCGTCTTTTAGTTTAAAGTCAGACTCAAAGAATGTAAGCTTCTTCTCTCCAAATGTGTTGTACTTACAGTCTCTCATCATATGGTCTGTTTCCTTACAAATATGACAACGTAAGGGTCCTGATTGTTGGGCTTGTGCTCCTCGTCTGGATCTAAATGGAGCTTGTTGATACACGTTTCCTGAACTCTGTCCTTGAAATGCAGGTCTTTGTCCGAAGGGTCTTTGTCCGAAAGGTCTCTTAGATGGATAAAAATCCCTGTGTTGGTGGTATCTTTGTTGATAAAAAACTTTCTGAGGGTCTTCCTCCTGGTTGCTCTGGTCATCACCAAAATGTTCTGCATTGTTGATGTCGTACTGTTGAAAATACGTATTTACAGGCTCTTCTTTAATCTTTGGTTTTCCGATGGAATATGTTTCACCGCTTGCGCTTGATGAAGAAGAAGATGTATTAGTATAATCTTCTCCGTATGCTCTTTTAAGCTGGGATTCCATATTCTCGTAGCTTAACTTAGAGACCGTTGCCCTGATCAATGTCTTTTGATGGTCCGAGAGATTAGCATGATGTAATAAGAAGTACGCTAGTACCCCATCTTCAAATACCACAGTAGCACCACGCTTCTGCACAAGGCTCTTGTAACGATGGCTAAATTCTCTCACATACTCTTCCATGGGCACTTCCTTGGGTCTTCTGTAGTTCATGAAGCTGTCAATGGATGTAAAGACTGACTGTGTCTGGTCTTTTTCATATAACTTATCCAGCTCGGCAATGAGAACATCTATTCCTCCATCTATGGATAACTTTTCTACGTCTAGCTGTATAGCCACAGCTTCTGGTTTTCCAGACATATTCATGATTAATGCAGCTGCTCCTGCCTCAGGCTTGACGGTAGTCACCTTCTTCCACCACTGAACTCTCCGTTTCCAATCTGTATAGTTGGACTTCTCATCAAGAACAGGTACTCTATCACCTCCCATGATGAAAACTGAAATCTAGTGTTAGGTGTTAAGTTGTTAGGTGTTAGTTTAAATATATCCAAAAAAAAATACGGTCGGTGTAACGTAGTTCTTCCTGCTACCACTGTTGGAACCCTGTTCTTGGGTTAATTAAATAACAAATAATACTCAATTATTATAAATACAAATTAGATGAATAAAGAGGTTATACAAATCTTGTGTCAAAAGTAACCTTGTTACTCTACAATGTACTCTCTTAAATAGTGAATGATTGATATGGTGTGACTCAGTAACTCACACTACTCTGCTCTGACTAATAGTTAAAACACATTTCAATACTAAACTAAACAATGTCTTTTTTACTATTAGATTAAACTACTATTAAATTAAAACTACTACTCCTGATGATGATGTTCTTCTTACTATATGAGGGACTTCTGAATGATGAGGACTTCAAGTAAAACTGGAACTGATAACTATAAAACAAAAACCCTGGGGGAAAACTACCGTGAGTAAAGTGAAAGGTAATCCACGTGAAACTATAAATGAAAGTGAAAGAGGAAGCGGGAACTCCTAGACTAAACTACTAAACTATAACTATAAACTACTTACCACTCTTTCCACGTCACAGAACACAGATAGTATCTGTCGACTGGAATCTGTGGGATCACTAAAACAACGTCACTCCTCTCCCTTCTGCTACGCTAGAGTCTGGAGTCGACAACGTCACTCCTCTCCCTTCTGCTACGCTAGAGTCTGGAGTCAACTAAACACTGGACACTCCTCTCTCTTCTGTTACTTCAACTAGAGTCTGGAGTCGAGCCTTGTCTGCCTTCTGGAGTCCCTTTACCCGAACACTGTATATACAATCACTGGAACTAAACCTTTGCTAAAGTGAGATACAGGGTTAGTAATATGAAGTACAAAAACAAGCTACAAATAGAATTAAGATTCTAACACAATGCACGGTCAGTATATGTACAGTTCAGGCACGGTTTCATGTTAATTGCACACTGTCCACATTGATTGACGATGTCAACCCATCGCTTCGCAAAGCAACGATCGGCGATGCGAAGCAAGAATGCTAGTTCGCGCGGCGCGTCGAAGCGGTGAAGTCCTCCAATGCAATGTCCACAGAGCTTAGCTCCAGTGAGGTTTTATTATATGGAAGTAGAACTTCGTGTTCTGTCATGTCGAATGAATCACCTCAGCATTACCCGATTACATTTAATTTAATTTTACTTTCGAAGTGCCGCAGTGCTGCTTGACCATTGTTAATGGTCTGGCCCGGCGCGCGCTACTTCGTAGCACTAGCACTTGCCATCGGGCATTTCGAGAAGAAAGCGGCGCACGCTACTTCGAAGAAATTTAGACGAGTAACATCCGTCAACAGTGCTGCCATATATTAATATACTTGGTTTCAATAATTTATACCACTGATAAATGATGAAATTCGTTCATCTAGCCAGCGAGGAGCGTTTTCGTAAATCACGTGTTATAAATATTCTTCTGAAGAGACAGATTAGATTAGGGAAAGTTTGCATGTAACGTCAGGGGTCTGAGTTTGGTGATACTAATACCATGACGGTTGGAATGAAGATGGTTAACACTGTAATGTCAGACATAGAACTTAACAGCATTCCCTCAGCACTTACACAAGACTCCCGCAGGATTTCATTTGATCATAAACTCCTGGCCAAGATCAGTTGTAACAATAATAACATGATAAGATGATACAATTCTTGGTATTACTGCTATTTGTAGAACCCCACTTTTAGTAGAGACTGCATTCTGGCATTGTAACATGATATTCTGAGCTCACTGCAGCGCACCACCTGACACCACGTGACAGTACCTTGTGACTGATTCGAGAACCACTGATAAGGAAACATCCACCTCTTATCACATTATTCTACACGTAGAATTCGTCTTGTAATCACCGCTCTGTGTTTCTATTCTCTCTAGTTAGTAAACTCGCACCCTCGTTTTCTTAAAGTGTGTTTCATTAAATTGCAGAATAAAAGTTAATTATCAGGAGCGACGATATATATAGGAGGTGCACGATAAAAATAAACTTGCTCGGATTTTAAAAATTTTTGTACCAGTGTTTTCTAGAGACTGTGAGAATTTTCACAATACCAAATTTGTCATACCTTTTTGGAAAGATCAGTGAATTTCGCCTAAGTGCTATATTTGATGGTGCGCGGCTTTTGGAGCAAAAGTAGCTGTAAAAGTCGCGTAATTTGACCAAATTCGTCCAAATTTGACCATTTTTGTCGTATTATTCGGATTTATTTTCAGTTCCTTAAATGAGATCATTCTGAAAATTGGCGACGACCTTCCAATAGGGCTTTTACAACTGTCCGAAAAATTTGGTGGATATCAGAGTTGATATAGTGATCAAAATGGGGCAAAATACGCTGCTTTTAGCTGTAACATAATGTCTGTTAATTGGATATGCTTTAAATTTTTCGGACACTTTCCTTGTAAGTCTATGAGTAAGCTTACCAATTTTTGTTGCAATTGGAGGTCGGGAAGGATACTCAATATTTATTTGTTTGAAGAAAATTGTGCTGGCCGAAATTAGCGCTAAAAAACCATCCTACAGTTGGCACGCGCGGCTCACTGTCGATGGCGCACTACCTAATATATATTTGGTAGGTTATATTAAATATTTTGAGTCAAACTAAGATTTTAATTGTTTTTAAACCTATTTAAAAATTAAAATGTATATACTGTTAACTTCCATACTACTACTAGTATCCTACCGTCCTACTTCAGTCCTAGTGAGATGTCAGCATTACTAAATTCTACACATATACCGGCCTTCTTCCACTGTCTCCTCTGACCAGTGATTACTATTTCGGCATCCTAAAGTTTGGGCTGGTTGTATGCATGAGGGATAGTGTCAGATTCTGGGTATTCATGGGAGCACCGGGTAGTACATAGCACTGAAATAGAGTATCAGGATCTCGGCAGCTCCCACTTCATCACAACTTCCGCACGGAGAACCAGCAATGGGGCTTACCTTTTAAAAGTGATTTTCTTCCAGTGCTCTTGCACAATTAATGTCCCGCTAGCCTGCTGGAGCAGTGGATAGAGAATTAATTGACGATATCAATTCATGGCAGCTCGGCGCGGCACAGTAGCGCATTTCGCCGATCTAGCCAGTGTCGCTGTGAGTAGCCTCATTGAGTGCGCGGCGCGGCACAGTAACGCATCGCGCTACAAATAGAGAAATGCCAATTATTGGTGCCCAAATTGTCTATCCGCCTGTTTACAGCGTCTCATCTGTTTGATATAATATAATGCTCCTGCTTTTCAGAATTGAGCCATGTTTTTGGAAACTGAGCAACAACTTATTAGAACTTGTAATATGATTATAATTATCTATTTTTCAGCATTCAATACCTGACCTGATGAAATGAATTAATATAATAAATTGTCACGATCGCTGATGGTCGGATACATTTTCAGGCAGAGATATTCTGTAGTACAAGTGACAAGCTTCATTACTGCGATATACAATCTACTTCCTAATTACTGGGCCGCGCTCAGCCTGTCATTCCGCCTAATCTCTATTCGTTGTTTACCAACATTAAAGCCTGGGGTCCTCAGGTAACTTCCTAACCGTGTTATCAAATCTCGAGGAGACCCTTATACCCACTTCAGGTTTGATCTTTGCTTTAAAAAGTTAAAACTCTCCATCAACGGTTATTTAAATTGATATTATTTCCATTTGTTTTGGGAAAGGAGACACTGATCTAATCGCCACGGCCTCCACTCTACCCAATTTAGGGTTTTGGTTAAAAATTATCATTTCTGTTTCACATGGGTCACAGAACAGTTGACTATTTAATTAGCTGCTTTCGTGCAGTATACTGTTTCCTGGCCCATCTGTATTCAATCATTTTTTTATATACTTATTTGCGCATACTCCATACTCAGCAATTGACAGGGTAAATAATATATTCTAGGTACTAGACTCAGGTCAGAGATCAGGCAGCGTTTCCGATTTCTTCGTAAAGATCAACATAATCTTTGTAGGTTTATAACCTACCAGGACGCGCGCCGAGTTGGACTCGTCGACGGTCCAATATATGGAACAGATATTTTACGAGTATCACCCGTTAACATAATCTTAAATAATTTAGGTAAAAATATGTAAGTTTATTGATTCCACTAAGCTCTTTCAAAAGATCTCAATATTCCAAAATTATTAATCAATCAGAACTCCTACTTCATATAAAAAAGCCGCATTTGTAGAGTAGCGTGTATTAATTTAAATAGTCATTTTCTGATCTTTGCAGGTTAATTGAAAGAGCTTCCGTCGAAAAATAAAAGCAAAATTGGTAAGTATACTCACATCCCAACACCTAAAGCTCCACCCCGAGGCCCGAACAGCTCTCTTGCATCCTGATCAAGTAGTACCTCTCTCCATTAATTAAATATGATACAAACTCTTTTAAACATTTTAACAGCATTTTTATTTCAGACTATTTTAATTCTACTGAACGATGGAATACTATATAAAGAACGGAAAAGAAGTATTCCTCAAGTTCTGCAACTCTCCTGACAACCTTCATCCCACTATGTTACCGAGAGCTCCAGATCAGACGTATATAGATAGGTATCCGGTGTTAGGAACGTGTGTAGTACCTCAGAACTAGAAGTTAAGTTGAACCCCAGTATGCTGCGTTAGTAGTAATTAGATTTGTAAATATGTGGATTAAAATGGTAAATAAACCATGTAAATTTGCAAATATTCACCGTAACATAAAGTGTCATAAAGATGAATTAGGTGAGAACTTATATGATTAAGATGAATTAAGTGATCATTTATATGATTAAGATCTGATTGGAGAGATTTGCAGAGCACTGCAGCCATTGGTCAGAAAGGACATTTAGTTTTATTAGAATTATTTATAACGAAATTATTGGATTAATAGAGTTATTGAATTCATCAATTAGTGGAACGATATTTTAACCAGTTTTAAAAACCGGTATTTGTATTAATAATCTGTTTGTTTGCAATAACCTGTTTGTAATAACCTGTTTGTTTGCAACTCTCCTGGACAACGCGTGGACCGCCTCTTCCACTGGAGCTCCTCTTCCACAGAACACCTAGACTACAAAAGATGAACACACAAGATTCTCACGGCCGTCTGCCTTTAGCCTTTTCCCGAACGCCTCTCCTATGATTGGTTTTCTCTACACGGCCCGGGATGTTAGTATGCTGCGCTCTCTCCCACGTCACTAGTTTCATAAATAGGTTTGTAATCTTTTATTTTAAATGATTGACCTTAGTACTTTGTTCCTAAAGACTGTATCAGTATCATGCATAATTAGGTTAAGATTAATCCCATGAGTTCAAAAGTCTTAGTATATTATGCGACTAAAATACTTATCCTTTCTTCCCCGGCAGAAGTCACCAGAACATTGCAATTGGTTCCCGTCACTTCCGTAAATTCCCGCTAAGCTAGGAAGTTTGTTGCTCGAGGTATTGTTCTATTATGATGTAACCCATTCATTAGATGTTGTTCATAGCAATGTTATTCCCAATTTATTGATTCACATTGTTCGTAATACTAAAGTCATTCCCGATTGGTTAGTAATTAAATTCTAATAGGTTTATACCTTCCTAGGTAATATTGTGGTGAGCCTATCCTACCTGGTTGCTTGTCCTAACCTTAGCAGCACCTACATTATTACCTCGTAAGTCATTTGAGCATTTATTGATAAGTTCTTACATATTTAGTATTCTACAGTTCATTCTAATTTAACTTTATCTTGTTTAATTTTATCCTAGTTAGTATATTATTGTCTTTAATTAATCCGTCATTTGCTAATAATTTGTCCCTTTCTAGGACATTCCCCTCCCACGGATTCTG